AGGAGACTCTGAGCTTTCATTTGATGTGTATGTTGTCGGGAAACGTGATTGTGGAGCATGCGCACATCTGGCTGTAATGTGTTTGGAAAGTGGTCCCGCCGGCGGGATGTGAGAGCAATAAGGGGTTAAAAATACTCTTCTTAAATATATTTTTTTAAAAATTGGAAGTATATTTTGAGTGAAATCACCCTTTAAAACTACGTCGCGCACCCGAACTAGAAGCCATGCACTTATACGGCCGTAGAAGACGAGTCCAGCCTCTACCAGCAGCCTGGTCGTGGCTCTCCGGCTCTGCAGACAGAACCTTCCTATTGGATCCGATCCCGCAGCAGGTCACAACGTTTCCGGCCTCATTTACTACTGCTCATGCGCAGAGCCGAGAGCTGCTATTAGTAGTCCTATTATTTAATACCAAGTTTTGGTAATTTAACCTTTAAATTGCAGCTTAATGTTGCTGTGTCATTTTTATCTGTTCTAAATATGTGAACGGCACTGAGTGCACACTGTAGTCTGATTGCAGCTCAAATAAAGCAGCTACAGTTTCACTTTGAGACATGCTTTTGGCTGTTTTTTCCTTTCTTAGAAAAGCAAAGTCTATGCTTTAATAGTATGAGGCTTTGGATAAAGCCATCTTAAACAAATGTATCCATGCAAATAAGGTATTTCCAAAGAAGTTTAGGAGGAGAGATGGTATCGGTATCGGTATCGGCAGATACTCAAAGTTGAAGTATCGGTATCGGTATTGGAAATCAAAAAGAGGTATTGGTCCATCCCCAGTGCTAACCACCGAGCTTGCAGCCCGCGTCGGTTACAATGCACTCAAAAACAAGATGTTCTTTTTGCTCCTCTACCTACTGTAAACAAAATGTATGAATGTGTGGTTCTGAAAAAGGAAGGAAACTGAAATGCATAAATAAATGTTGGCTGCCAAATATGCTACAAATCTACATAACATTATACATCTACAGAAATTAACTATAATGCTAACAATACATAATATTTATACAGCACTTTTCAAGACACTCGAAGACACTTTACAAAGTAGGTAAGAACACAAAAGATAAAGGAATCAAATATAGTGGAGAAAGCAGCGTATAGAGAAGGGGACTTACAAGTTGTAGGCAATATTGAAAAGATGTTTCTCTTTGGATTTTTTTAAAAATATGAACAGTGAGGATCCTTGTCCGATGCTTTTGGGGAGCGAGTTCCAGAAGGTAGGTGTGGCGATGGAGAAACCCCCGTCACCCCAGGTCTGGTATTTGGCCTGGATGGAGGGAGACAGAAGGCTAGCATCAGCAGAGCGGAGGGTGTGGGTATTAGTGTGCCACTGAAGGTCAGTCAGGTAGGAGAGAGTCAGATTATGGAGAGTTTTGTAGATGGTAAGGTGGATTTTGAAGTGGATTCGCTGGAGGACTGAGAGCCAGTGGAAGTTCTGAAGGATGAGGGTAATGTGATCACTTGTGTGGGAGTGGGTGAGCAGGTGGGCAGCAGAATTCTGGATGTATTGAAGTTACTTGAGTCATTTGGGTGATGTCCCGTAGAGAAGACTGGTGCAGTAGTCGAGTCTGGATGTGATGAATGCGTGGATGAAAAGGGGAGGATGATGGATGGAGGTGGGCTGTGTTTATGAGTTTGAAGAAGGCTGTGATGTGCTTGATATGTTGGTCGAAGGAGAGGATTTGGTCAAAGATGACGCCTAGATTTCTGATGTGAGGGGAACAGAGTACAGTGGAGCTGTCGATGGTGAGGGAGAAGTTGTGGGTGGACTTGATGAGTGATTTTAGGCCTGTTATGATTTGCCACAGTTTAGTTTGAGGAGGTTTGCTTGCAGCCATGACTTTACTTCTGTGATGCAGTTGTGAGGGTCAAATGGGTGACAGTGGAAATTTTTTTTGGTGAAGATATAGAGTTAGATGTCATCAACAAAACAGTGAAACTGGGGTCCATGATGGCGGCTTAGGCAGCCATAGTTAGCCATTAGGCAGTCATATAATTTAGGATAGGTTAAATTTAAACATTAATACCATTACTTTGATTTAACTTTGCTGAGAATTCAAAATCAACTTGAAACACAATTATGTAAGCTCGCTCTTGAATAGACCAACTAAAAGCACATCAACATTTTGAAGGACTCACTCTATAAATTTGGATAGATTAGTGTTTTTGCATACATACATTAATTTACAACACAAGTGATTTCAACTCTGTTCACAGTGCCAAGTGTTGTTAATATTTGTGGGAAATAAAAAATAAAAGTATTTCATCACGCACAGTCTAAATGTTTTACCACCTAATCCAGTTGCCCTTTTGTTAAAAGGTCTCCAGCTGTCCTTGCTGCTGGGTGTCTTTGCTCACCCAAACACACAGCAGTCATCTGACTCACCCCCGGGGTGACAGCTTCAGAGCACGCTGCCCTGACCTGACGCGACAGACCCACACTATTATTTCCTTCACAGACCAAGCCAAAATAGTCCTAATTATTTCTATCTCTGCAGCATTTTTACAGGAAGCCATCATCGTTTTTTAGACAGACTTGATGTAAATTACGAGACATATTTAAAAACGCAGTCGTGAGAGTTCACAAAGGAACAAATGCCTGCAGCTGCTGTTTTGAACTTGACTGTGTTTGATACCGCATAGTTCAATTCAATTAAATTCAGTTTTATTTGTAAAACACAGTTTACAACATACGTCATCTCACAGTGCTTAACATAGTAAGAGGAAGA